AAGCTGTAAAACAATTTGCAACTTTGGGAAAGCGCCTTAGAAAAGGGTGTTCATATTTAAGTAGATTTCATAATTCAGTTCAAAACAATTTCTTTTTTTATATAGCACCAAAATCACAAAATCTCAAAGCACTTTATTATTTAAAGTTAAAGACCCCACAATAATGGAGAGAAACCCCGAATCTGAACATAGAACAACACAGTGGCAAAGAATCTAAAACAAGCTTTTTTTTTCTTTTTCTTTTTATTACTACTGTTTCCATAAGGAATGAGTGACGGCACAGTGGCTACGTCCATGTTTTATATAGAGTCAGTGGAGCCACTAATAATTGCCATCCACTTCTTGAAAGGACAAGAAGCACAGTGTCGGTGAGAGCAGACTGCTGGAGGCCACTGTGGGGATAGTTTAGGCTCTCGTAAATTAAATTAGCTTCTCGTTGAAATTGAGAAACTCAGTGACGAACAACGACCAACCTCTGCTGGGAGTTATTCGTTTATTTATTTACTTATTCCTGAAAATTCACTCAGAAGCCCGGGGCTTGATTATGTGACATCAGTACTTCTATCAAAGCCCGAGCGCCCTGATAGGCTATAGAGTGGACGCCCCTCTCTGGGAGGGGAGCTTTGGAGCACTCAGTGAAGGTGCTTGTTGTTGGTGGTCACAGGGTGGAAAGTACGTACAGGCTACCCTCAAATGTAAGCTTGACTGTGGTGCGCATACGCATATATAGCTAACGACCTTACGCATCTTTGAGAGCGGTTGCTATTAACCAGTCTCTGCGTTCAGAAGCTGCAAGAGTGTTTGAGCATTTTGAATCTATACGTTCACATTTCTTTTATATCCTCAGGTCCAAACTTGGACAAGGCCCACCCCTCTCCCACCTGCACTTCTTGGAAGCAATCAATAACGGCTGTACCCACCTTTATTTCTCTCCTATGCACGGGCCACCGGGACTGCTCTCGCCCTGCAGTTTATTTACAGTGTTTCCTCAAGCAGCTGCTGCACATTTACTCAGAGAAGCGTCCCCCTCCTCATCTCTCAGTTTGTACATCCTACTTTCCTTTGCGTTTTAATCCCTCCCACAATAGATACAGGCCGAGGAGCTGAGGAAGAGGCATGCAGTGAAAGGAGTGGGGGGTAACAGATATTTTGCTTATAGTATAAGAATTATGGTTTGCTATAACCGCCTGCTACTGAATTTGATGACCTCAGATTTCAGATAAATATAACAGTTTGATGAAATACAAAACTGATATGATCAGACAGCTGAACATTGAACACAGCTGAACTAAAATAATCTACAAACATAAAGGATCTCAAGATTTGTTGATCCTGTTAAT